CAATGATGGCTAGCTATGAAACTTTTAAAACAAATAACGTATATATTGAAAGAACTAAGGACTATTTAATTCCAATATTGTTTAAGTGTCTTCCGTCACACTTAAAAAACATTAGAGGTAGTAAAAAATCTGTTAAAAATGAAATAAAAAAACATTTGTTAAATACGTTTTAGGTAAATATTGAAAAACTGAATGTAATGTTTGTGTTTATACAATTTAAAAAAATCGCACGGTATAATAAGATCACATCTGCGAAATGTTAACTTTTCACTAGACGGGTAAAAAGATTCTACGAATGAAATTTGTCGACTTTTTATACTTAAGAGTCTAAACAACCTCAAATGACTTTGATTGATGCCGCATAACAGTGAAAGTGTTAAATAAATCACTTTGGAAATTTTACTTTACATACACCAATAATTTTTTAAATATCAACTGAATTAAATAGAACACGTATTCTATACGATATACATTTTCCAAATGGCTGTAATTTTGTTTGTAAAAAAATTGATTCTGAAATAAAGCCTTTTGTACCCTTTGTATTGTGGTCAATAAAGTTTAATAAATAAATAAATAAATAAATTGTCCCTGCTGCTTGACCCAAGCAAAATGAACCGTATTAGTACGGAAAAAAATTGAATTCGAGCTGAGGTAGATTCGACTCTTAAATAGGAGAGTTACATATAATACGTCACGTATACATAATTTCTTCCATGTAGTTATAACTTATAGATAAATGATCTTTTGACGTATGACTATATGTTGCTTTATTATAGCAGCGGTAGAGCTTCTAGTGAGAGAGTTTGTCCAAAGCACTACTGTTTAGTACTTTTTAAGTAAACTTACCTATTTCTGCCAGCTTTTAGCATTTAAGCAGTAACGAGAGTATTACTGCGTTTCAGTTTTTGAAGAACAAATGTGGTGGTGAAATTACAGGCACATGATTCAGATTCAGATTCAGATTCATTTATTTCTCAAATATGACATTGCAGTATAAATTGCACTACATGTCAAAGTATAAGAAATTATATTGAGATCGTCAGACAAAAAGGAAAATTATAAGAAAAGCACACAATAATTAGAAAATTAACAATTCATTATATAATATTGTTGTCATTAAATTACATATCAAATATCATTCTCCATCAAGGATCGTCATAAGTTGATAATTATACAAGAGCATGTTAATGCGGTAAAAATTAGAATAAAAATATAAAAATGGAAAATACTGAATTCGTTACAATTTAATGGGACTTGTTACCATATATTGCAGGGTGACGGGCGCTGGATAAGGCGCATAGATAAGTGGACATAGAGAGTTCTTTATGTACTCCTTGTGAAGGAGTTCGTCCAGGGAAGTACTGCCACCTTACCTATTTCTGCCGCCAAGCAGTAATGTGAACATCACTGTGTTCCGGTTTTGAAGGATAAGGGTGCTGGTGAATTTACAGGCACGTGGGACTTGTTGTGTCAGTGTGACGGGCGCAATGGCAGTGCCCCTCAGATCTTTGCGATTTAAAGCTCTGAGTGGCACTGCAACTGCTATGGACAGGCGTGTCGCCTACCACCAGGCGCACGACTTGTTCATCCCATCGCTTGGTACCATAAAAAAATCAAATAAAAAAAACAGCCAATAAACCTAAGTATAAAAATGCTTAAATATCAAGTTTTCCTTTAAGCTGTAGGTTTTACATTTATAATGCAATTATTTTGTTAGTAACAAAACAGTCTAGACTAAGACTAGACAAGCAAGCTTACAGATGATATTGAACCACTGTCTACGAGAATAGACTTTGCCTCCCTATGCCTGTTCTATCGCCTGTGCAATGACCAATGTTCTGAAGAATTGTTTGACATGATGTCAACAGCAACATTTTACCATCGCACCGCTCGTACAATCTCGTACTGTACGGTTTCAAAGGAGCTTCCTCCCACGTGCAATTAGGTTGTGGAATGAACTCCTTATAGGGGTTTTTCCGCAGAAATACAGCATGGTGTCCTTCAAAAGAGGTCTGAAAAAGGTCTTAAAGGGTTGGCAATGCACACCAAACCCCCTGGTGTTGCAGGTGTTCATAGGCGATGGTGACTGCTTTACATCAGACAGGCCGTAGGTGTGCTTGTTTGCTGCCTACATAACATAAATCACCTGTTGTACATTATCTTACTTTGTGATTCTTTGACATTACTGTTCTGTTTGTCATTGTAATTTTTAATGTGCAATAAAGAATATTTCATTCGTTCATTCATTCATTCATGCATTCATTCATTCATTCATTCATTCATTTCATAAATCAGTACAGAGTACTAAAAGAACCGACCTCAAAAGTTCGTGAAAGTACATCTATTTGCCAAGTTTTATTGATATCGGTTACCGGAAAGTGCGTTAAACCGGCTTCATCCCCTAGTCGTTGTAGTAGTTGGAATATTTTCTAGAAATTTAAATAGAACTACTAATGTGGTACCGTCTTTCCTACAAAAGAGAATTATCAAAATCGGTTCAGAAAGTTATCGCGAAACATACATACAAAAAAACATAAAGTCGAATTGCGAACGTCCTCCTCTTTTTATTATTGATACAAATATCGAACAAACACAAAGTAAAATACCTCCGACTGGATTCGAACGAACAGCGTCTGTTTGCAAAGCAAATGTTCACAAACGCGTCAAAAGCACCAAGATAAAAGATAAAGAACAAAACAATCTAGCGTAAGATTTACTACAACCACGCATATGACTTAAGTTTGTTCAGCGTGTTGAAATCAAGGCATTGTTTGAAGTTTAATTCTACTTCATACATTTAGCAGGACAGTGTAAGGTTCGTGTAATAAATTATTTACTCCTTTATTATTTTCCTTGTATGTGATGTATAGATTTTTTTTTATGATACCAAATGACGGGACGTGCAAGTCGTGTACCTGGCGGTAAGCGACACACCTGTCCATAGCAGTTGCAGTGCCACTAACTTTAGTCCCATGTCCCATGTGCCTGTATTTACACTTTAACCGCCGCCAAGCAGTAATGTGAGCCCTCGTACTGCTTGGCGGCAGAAATAGGTAAAGTGGCAGTACTTCCCTGGACGAACTCTTTCACAAGGAGCTCTACTGCTACTAAAAATATCCAATCGCAAGACTGTTTTATCTTGTCTTGTATCATTCCACGCCCAATGTTTTTTCTTTACGATAGAAGCAATCATTAACCAACCTATAAACAACGATGCGACAGCAATTAATCAATCGGTTCCGAAAACAAGTTTTACTTTGCTCTTTCATTCTTAACATCGTATACAGGAACAAGTACCTACGTAAGATGAGGTCACCTGACCACAAATATCGAATGGTTATAAAAAACAGACAGGCCTTGTTCAAAAATCATACATTATAAAAATAAGGTTATCTTTATTCACAAAAGCGTAGGTAAGTAATAGGACCAGGTGGATCGTTTTTAAATCCATTTTGGACTAGTACATCAAGCTGTAAATATTGCACATCGGGAAAATCCGGAAGCCACCAAAATTCTCGAAAGCTGTTGCCGTATCTTTTTTTTATTAATGTCAAGTAACGACCAAATTGTGCGCTTGATGATAAGCTACATTAGCTACACGCCTGTCCATAACAGTTGCAGTGGCATTCAAAGTTTTAAATAGCAAAGATCTGAGGAGCACTGCCACTGCGCCCGTTACCCTGAGACATGTGTTAGCAAGTCCCACGTGCTTGTATTTTCAACAGCACCCTTACTCTTCAAAACCGAAACACAGTAATGCTGACACTACTGCTTTTCAACAGAAATAGGTAAGGTGGCAGTACTGCTACTAATAATTTATTCTATAACGTATTGCATTAGTAACTTACATATTTATGACAATTTAATATGAAATTTTATTATTCAATATCCAAAGTAAAAGTCATTGACAACTTTAATATAGTTTCTTATTTTTCGTTGTCATAAATGCATAATATTTACTGATATTTTATTATTACTACGTAGTAATGTAAACGACAACAGCGTTCAGACATATTCGTGGATTCCGAGTTTTCCCGATGTGCAATATATACCACCTGATACTGTCCTACTGAACCTTAACTTCTTAATATTGTAACCTTTTGCATCCTTTAATTTTCTATCCTAATGCTTACCAACTCACGACTTATTCGTCCTGTCACTTGATAATCATAATTTATAAATACAAGTACTTTCTAAATTACAAATGATGCAATTATTTCCACCAATTCACGAAGAAGTGTCAAAATCGTCCTAATGTATTTCAATTGATGTATAACGACAGGAAGACATCCCGTTGGAGATATTTATTAAATAAGTACAGAACACTTTATTGGTACATTAGCTAGAGTTAGTTGGTATATTGAACTGTGGAGGTTTTATCTCTTGGTAAAATGCCGCGCTAAGTTTTTTGAAAAAATGTAGTCAAGTTAGCTTCTTCCTCTTATTAGGCATCAATTTATGCTACTACTTGTTTTGAAAAAGCAAGTTCTAATTATGTAGCTACACGACATACCTTCTAAATATACAACGCATCGTCCGAAGGTAGGTAATAACCTTCTTACTTTGTATTGACATGTTAAAAATAAAGATATTTACTTGTTCAATGTACAAAAGGAAGCTTTATACACACATTTATACATATAATACACACTTTAGATTGGTGCATAAAATAATCGTTGTTTAATAATCAAGAAGGTAATGAAACGAGAATGCGTGCTTGCTTCGTGTATGCGTGCGTGCGTGTGTGCGTACGAGCGTGCGTGCGTGCGTGCGTGCGTGCGTGCGTGCGTGCGTGCGTGCG